CTCTAAGACCCATCCTATGCAGGAGAAACAGCCATGAAATATTTTGTTTGTTTTCTGAGGCAACATCACTTCTCAAGGAGCAGAACAAAGCTGAATTTTTTTTTCGTGGTTATGAAATCACCTCCTACACACCATCATCACCAGAAACATCATGCAGCTTGCTGTAAATTTAAAACTTGAATACAAGGTTTTTTTTCTAAAACTCTGAATTGTGAGGTGCTGACTTTATTGGGTTTGTACACATCTTGATATTGAACAGTCTGTAAAAGATACCTGTGTCAGATTTAAGCAACACTGACAGGTGTTAAGCACTTGTGCCTGCCCCTTGCACGAAAATGAAGAGCTCTTATATGATTGTTGCAATAATGCAGATTTGCACATGAGAAGGAAAAGAGGCACATGAAAAGATACATACACTGAACAAAATATCCAGTAAGAATATTCCAGTAAAGAATATCCAGTGCTTAATCCAAAAGTAATGAAAATAAATAATACTGAAGAACTAAAACAATTCTGAATTGACACTGATGAATTATTAGAGTAATAATATTTTGTAGTATTTCCCCTAAATAACGGGAAGCAAAAAAGGCAGTTATCTGTTTTACTATTCCAAAGGATTAAATATTCTGTTTCTGTAATCTAAAGAACCTATTTCTACAAGGTATGAAATTTATAAAATAGTGAGTTCTATGTTTTCTAGATTATATTAGCTTTTGTAGCAATTTTCCTAATACTTTCTACCACATTTCATGAAAACAGATATTCTTGACTTCCATTAGTTATACAAATAGAGAGAAAATAGTAAAAAGGAGTTCAATGTTATACTGCACTACAACCATTACTCTTGGAAAACACTGGGGAAAGGACTGAAATTCATTAAACTGAAGTCTTGTCTTCTACAAATGTTTTCATAATCAATTGTATTGATCAGTTTGGACTCCAAATTTTAAATTAATAAAAAGTGTGTTGTGCGGGGTTTTTTTTAGATTTTCTATTTCAAAATCTGAGTTTATGTTTTCTTTAGAAACATACAAAGCCCAGTTGAATTACAAAATGTATATATAATTAAAAATAAAAAGGACAAAAAATAAAGAGGAAAAACTTAATCAGGATTCAAAATACATCCAGCATAACTTCTTGACGTTTATATTTCCAGTTATTCTGTCTGTAAACAGGAAATATGGATAAGAGCAATTCTTTTTGGGAACAGAATCTCTCCAGCTCTGACAGCAAAGGACAGAGCTTGAGCTCCACAATATGACCAGGCATTTGGGTTAAAGGCCAGTGCTCTCTGTACTGTGCTCAGACACCACATGTGCACTCACACATGTGTAAGCCAATTTTCTAAGAACTCATCCCAGTGTATTTGCACTATACCAGGGATTTTGTCAATCAGGGACATCTCCTGCTGTAAAAAAAGGTTAAGAACAGACCAATATATTATCAAGAGGCAGAGTTCAACCCTGTTCATTTCAACATGTGTTCAAACAAATGTCTAAGAAACACAGCCTGCTATGAGGAAACAGGAGTTTAATGCATGAACAAGGACATTTGGTATGTAGTTTTCCCATTTAAAAGAGATTATTAAAGGATAAGTATATGCTATATATAGACTGTAAGATGCCCTTAACACACCTTGGATAGAAAATCATTCAAATATGCCATGTTCATAGACTACTGAAAGAAACAATTAACTTATTTTAGCTAACAGATAAAAATAAATGCAAAGCACTCATATATGTCAATAATATTTGGTCCTGAACACTACCTAGCCATAATTTCTTCCAGTAAATATCCTAATAATTTTTACCACACCCTCCAAGTCTTTTGCCTTATATATACATGAAAGAAAGCAAATTTTCTACTGTCAGTAACTAAATTTTACCAAAAACTTAATTATATAGCTAAACATCTTGTGGATTGTAGTGAGGTTTTTTCCTCCCTTTCATCTTCAACCCTTCACTGTTTTTATTATATGGACTGTAATAAATCAAAATGTTTTTTTATGCAATCTGGTTATATACATACATGATCTTATCCTAAACACAGGCATTCTAAATACAGGGAAAAATCTCTCCGCATTTCTAAAATTCACTTTCTGATGCACATCTAATTTCTCTTGATAGCAAAGAAAAAAACCAAAACAAAAACACCACCTCTTCATAAAGCAATATTTTAGAATAAAGAAGTTATAAACAGGAAGGGTTCCATCTCATCTCCTACAGCTGCCTTTAGCAATGGTGTTATGAAAGTAAGGTACTAGAGGCCACACTTTTTTCTAATTCATTTTTTTATTGCATTTTCACCAGGGAGAAAGAAAATGAGACTCCAGGGAAGCTGACTACACATTCTAGTGCTAAGACACAACCTACAAGATGAGAATTGTTTGATATGTAAAAAAATAACTGAAAAAATAACTGACTGAAAGCAAACAATTTATAGTACAGCTCTACTTCTACCTATTTCAACACTCAACCATAAAATCCAATGCATCAAAAATTTACATGTCAAAATATCATGAATCACCAGAATAACATCAACGCAAAAAAAATCCAGCTCAATTTAGTTTATCAGTATTTCTTAAATAAACACAGTAACAGCTATGTACTACTGATGTCAATATACTCCCACTCTGCACAATTACAGACCATCAGAACAACTGTTCATCACTGACTGAACACTCTCAGTAATCATGAACCTTCTCATATGCACAGGCAAGGCCTCAAACAGCTAATGTCAAAGTAATCAGTCTTTATCCCTCACACAAACAAACTCATCGTACGTGTTGTGTCCTGAAAAATAATCTTTAGGGAAATACAGGAGAAAATATTGTACATGCCCATAACACAAGTACTTTGTAGCATCTCTTCAAATAAATTCTTTAATAAGAGCATAATTAGTGCCAAGTGCGTAGGAAAACATTTAGATAGCAACTCCTCTGATCCTGCTAGGCAGGGCAAGATTTCTACAAGTAACCTAGGATCAGAATTTTGTTTCTGACAATAAGATCACCAGCTATTTACTGCTCACAAAATTCTGGTAAAGGGATTATAAGCCTTGCAATCGTCATCATTCTCTCCAATATCTTACTGAGATCTTTTGGTTTCACTTCTACGATACTTGCAATTCAGTGACTGACTGCTGTGTACAACGCAGCCTTGACATTGATTACTAATGCAGTATTGCAGCTACATCCCCATGGCAACTTGCTTTCAGATAATTTCTATAAGCCATATTTCTACCAACCACAGGAGATGTCCTATAATATCACAGTGATTCCTAAAATATGAAATATTTATTTAAAAAAAAAAAAAGCAAAACACGCCACTTATTGTTCCATTAAAATCCCACAACCCTTCTAGCTTGTGTAATTTATCAATTTTCTCACTTTTTCAGTTCCACTCTTCCTCTCTAGCAAACCAGTATTCATCACTTAGCAGCTGAAGCTAGCTTCCATCCAAAACCCAAGGAGACAGCATAGGAAGGTGTGCAATCCCTCAGAGGCAGAAGTATTGAAACTAAATTTTGTGGATGGAAAAACTTGTAGCTAGACAAGACAGAGAATTTCTTTCAACACTCTGAAATGGTCAAATTTGTGGTCCCCTTCCTCTGGTTTTCCTCTCATTTCCTGCCATCTCTATTCAATCTAGTTCACTTAATGGACAGAAAACCCTTCATCTCTTTTAGCTGAATCAGTATTTCTCTGGCTATTGTGCTGCATGTGACTTCCCAAGGAAAAAAATGAGCGCCAGACATGGTACAAAAATGAGAGAGAAACATAGCTGAGAGCCATAAATATACTAACAGTGAACAAGAAGATTGATTTGACTGGGTCTAATCTGCTTCCTAGGTATATCCACTTTAAAAAAAAAGAAAATACTCTACGCTCTTTCCAGCTAGTCCTATTCCACTAAAACATGACACTGTTCTTTTAATTTCCTACATGCTGTTTGCTGCTGTAAAAGGATCAGTATTCTGTGTATTCAAAAATATGCAGGGAGCAGTTTGTTCCACTGTCAGGGGGGTCTTATGGCATTCTCCTTCCCTGCACTTGTGTATAAACAAAATACCCTAGAGTATATTAAAGCCATGTTCATATTTCCTCAGCTAACAGAAGAACAACCTAGTGCTATGAACTTCTGTCTCCGCTGCTGTAATATTTTTAATTGCAAAAAAAGTAAAACTTTCATTTTAAACTAATTTGTTCAATAATCAAATTTTTAATGCATTATATACTAAGTGTAAGGTTTAAATAGTTTTCTTGTGTTACTATCCTCAAACAACAGTTTAAAAGCATAATACACTCACAAATATGTTTAAATGTTTCTAAGGCCGAGCTTCATTGATTAGAGTTCATTAGGATAGCTCAGCTTCTCACATCCAAATCTATCCTGTAATATTCATTATTATACAGTGCTTTTTGCTAAAGAGATAGTTTCTGCTGTGGAGAAATTGAAAGCAGTTAACACCTGCATTTTGAAATTGAAATTTTAATTTGACATTAATCAAAAAAGCATTAAAATTAACAGACAAGCATGCTGCAAACAAAGCTGACAGTCATTTTTAGTATATAGAGTGCAGCGTTTTTAATAGCATGCAAATACTGTTGACAGGCATGTCTTTATTCAATTAGTTCCTAGTTTCCAAGGGCAGAGTAGTGTGCACACATCCAAACTGCGTTTTCTAATTTTAGAGGCTTTGTATATTGAATATTTCAAACTACTTAGTATCCAAATCAATTTAACAGAATGCCACTTAAGGTACTTTTCAGTTTTGGCTTTCAATAATTTACGTTGTATACCTCAACACTGCTCATGACCTGATCCATAATTACATCCAAGCAGATCTCTTGGCCTTCTTTTTGAAGTATTTCAGAGTAGTTATACTTCTAGGTGTGCACATTTTTGGATGCCTCTCAGTATTATAAAAGTTTTGTGCCAATCCATCTGCATATCCTATTTACTTCTGTGGCTAAAATAGCAGGTAAAACTGGCACTTACTGTTCAATGGTTACAGGGCACTTCTCCACTCCTCCTTTTCCAAATGGTTTGCCAAATCAAACCTACTGCCTCCTTAGCTGCTGGGAAACAAAAACAAAGAACCCACACACACGTCAGAATTCAAGGAACTGAGGGAGAGGGTATTGTACTAAAAAAATCTCTTAGGGAAAGGAAAGAGCAGTGTAACAGCGGTATTAACACCAACTTTTTCTCATAACAGCTAACAAGAATGTGAACAAAAGATCTCAGGAGAGCTGTGGTGGGACACAGTCAACATCTTTAGGCAACAAGAACAAAAAAATACCAAAAAATTATATTAAAAATAAAAAAAAGAAGCATAAAGCCAGCTTAATTGTTTGTCTTTTTACCAAACTGTGAACTATCAAGAGCTCAAAAATTATTTATATTTTTCTAATGCATTCTCCTCTGGTCAACTGTATTAAAGGATTAGCCAAGGTTTGTCTACAGCCATCAATCATATCAGTATCTTTTTTTTTATTTGCAAATGAAAATGTTTACACCTAGATACAAAATAAAGCTTCTTTGAAAATGCTTTTGCTTTATTTATTTTTTTATATAAAACCTGAAAATTTCCACTGGAGAAAATGCAATTAAAAAAAGGCAATTGTAAGAAACACATTTTCTGAAGTACCTGAAAGCTGCTGATTGCTTAACATTCCCCAGGGGTTTGAGTAAGCAATGCAGTGCTAACATTGGCTATTCAACAGAGTTATTAATAGTTGTGATTCTAGCACAAATAAATTGTGCTGGTATTATTCCTATAACACCTAGTGGGATGCAGGACCTACAATTTACAGTAAGCCTCATTTACAAAACTCCAGATAGCAACTTAAAAAATTAAAGTTTAAAGAGTCATTTCAAACATAACATATATTAGACATGCCACTGTGTTGAGCACAATTCTGTTTCACAAGGTATGTAAAATGCATCATGACTAAAACATGAAATAGGAACAGTCTGCTTTCTAAAAGTCAGTATCATTCTCACACTCTTGTCAAGACCACACCAGCTACAAAATGTTTTTCTATTCACAGCAGCTGGTGGCAATACTGACAGACAACATGAAGACCCCTTCATGTGTTGCACGGCACAATCACTCCTTGCACGCTGCAAAGAGACAGCCTCTGTACTGCAGAGATGGAAATGTATTTAAAAATGTACTAAAAGATGTATTTTTGAAGAGAAACCTTCCCTACATGAAAATAGCTATTATTTCCATATTAGAAGCAGAAAAATGAGGCATGCCCAATTTCATGAGGTAAAATCTACATGCAAGCAGCAGTCAGATAAAATGAGATCTGAATCTCTATTCCTTCTACTTGAGTAACTGTGCACAGGACAGAAACACAGATGAGCTGCTATCAACGTCATATCCTTGCCAAGCTACAACTAAACTTTTATCAAGAAAATAATTTATTTATTTTTCATTGGCAGAAATACTTTTTTCAACTTTCTGTTATTCACAATTGTATTCTTGCACTGCAGGAAACCTGAATTTAGAGATGAGAGATCCTGTTAAAAAAAAAAAAAAGCCTCTTTTCTGAAGATAGAGTACTTAATCAAGTGCTTAATTAATTTGCCTTCCTCACCTATTTCAATTTAATGTTATAATTCTCATCTCCAGAATGACACCTGCCAGTACAGGTGTTTTACTTGGCATTTCTGTGTGTGCTCCTGCAAAATGAAAACAGAGTTGGAGTTGGGACAAAATGGAGGGGCACAAATCAAGACATTATTGGAGTTGTTCCATGCTCTGATCCCCAAGTCTATTCCAGGGAAAATAAAATATTATTGCTACTATATTTTAGAAGAGACCTGGGAAAAATGTCAAGTAATAGAAAGGGTGAAATACTTTTGTATCTTTTTTATCAGAACTCCTAGAGAGAAAAAGGTGAAGGAATTTGCAAATCACCAACAGAAAAACCAAAGAGGAAAAGTAAGGCCATGGGGCTATGGACCAGTTTTGCCATTAGATCACAGGGAAAAGCACAAGTGAGATATGCTGCAAGACTCCTGTCTTCTACTGTAGATAACATTGAGTGATTATAAGAAAGGTGGTGACAAATCTTTTACTAGGCCCTCTTGATATCAAAAAAAGGAAGGTGATTTTAAACTAAAAGAAGGTAAATTTTGACTGGATGCAAGGAAGAAGCTTTTTACAATGATGTGGTGAAGCACTGGAACAGGTTTTTCAGAGAGGTTGTGGACACCATACCGCTGGAAACATTCAAGGTCAGGTTGGATGGGACTAGTAAAAAAAGCATGCCTCATTCCATCAGTGACTGTAACTACGCTTATTTCAATCAAATAGAGAAACATTCACCTTCTCACAGTGACAGAAAGAGATATGAGTTTATAACTTTGTTTAAAAGCATTAGGGTAGTTCCTGCAGGTTTTTTGGGTTCAGGTCAGTGATTTATCTGTTTGTCCTAAAATGAGAATGGGCTCCACAATTTCTACTAGACACTTTTGCAGCATCAAGTATCATCTGTCTAGTTTTTAGAATAATCCACTAACTTTGCTTATTTCTCTCTGGTCTCCAGCTTGCCTTCCTCATCCTGCATCCTTTCTTTATTATGTAAGAGTTTACTGATGTTACTGATATACTTACTAATCAAGAATAGACACCTTCCAGAAATGGCTTAGCTTTACCAGTGTATATTTTATTCTTGGGCAGAAATAAAAATCTTATTAAATGATTTCAGATACCAATTACTTTATTTGAAAACATCCATGTGTTGTATCTCTTAAAAGATGCTGAATGCTCTGTACTCCTACAGATGTTTTTCATAATCTTGCAATTTGTGTAATTCTTAATGAAGAATATAGTTAGTATGAACTGTCCATCTGCTTTGTATCATTATTAATATTTTATCAATTGTACTGTTGAAAATTACAGTGTAGCATCACAAATCCAGTTACAATACCCGTAATTATAATCTCTGCTGACAGAATGATCCAAAATGATCCTCTGGAAGTCTAAAACATTTATAAAATTTGGGCACAGGAGAAAGGAAAACAGTTTAACTAACAGATGTATTTTCAGTGCTTGCTGAGGAAAGATTCATATATTCAAATATTCATCAGTCCTACCAGTGACTGACAGAGGTAATTTTTAGGAAACAACTTCTGGGAACCAAATTAAACTGCTGAAATGCTGTTTCTGAAAAGGTTATTTAGATTATTTCTTAAGTCACGTCTCCCACTATACAGAAGTTATTATTACTAGGAAGAAACAAACACTGTATGTGCTTAGTCCTTTCACTTATGATTAAAGAAAAAAACAAGCGTCTTAAACAATTCAGTACATCTTTTGACCACGTGCTAGATAAAATAGGGTGCAATCAAAGCCTTGACTTGAAATGTGAGAGGCTTCATTCCTTGAGTGGCTTCAGTAATTGCAGTGGGCTTACTGGCGAAACGGGCTAAAGCTCATTGTACAGAGCAGAACACACAGCACTAAATTTTGTGGTCTGCTACACACCCCTGAGCAGAGCAAGGAGTTATATTTAACTCATATTTCAGTTGTGCCAACAAAAAAAGCTCCTGGCAGATTAAGAAAAGAAGTAAAGTTCAACACTACCTTCTGTGTCTTGAAGAAAATACAAGATACAGATAACAATTTAAAATAATATGACATATATTATCAAGTAAGTTTGAAGTGAGCAAGACAAGGTTTTTCATTTTTCTCTAATTCTTGCCTGAGATACAGCAGAGTAAGATCACTAAGATCATTTTCCTTTAGCAAAGCTTAAGGTTGGAAGCTTTCAGGTCTCTGTTAGGTGCTTACATCCCCCGGTGTGATGTTCTTGTTTCTATACTTAGCTGGAATCCCACTGAGCAAATGGATTGCATGTGCAAGTGCGGAACAAAGTCAGGCTATTAGTGTGACAACTTTCCTTCCTCCACTGGCTGGGAGAAAGGAAAAAAGATTTGAAGTATAAAAGAATAACTATAAATCATTTCAGGGAATATATTTGCCATGCAAATGTGCAGCAGGTTTTAGAAGGCCATTATCTAAGGGTTACACATAATCAACATTAACTATATGCTTACACAACATAAAACCATTAAATTTCAAGTACAGGAAATAAGCAAGTCACTTACAAGCTAAGTAAGTCACTTAACTCTCTCTTCAGTGTAGTTTAGTCACTGTGAGAACAGAACAAATAAAATTAGCTACCATCTGACATCAGTATTTTTAAATTCTCAGAGCAAGGGAAAAAACCAAAGTACATTGATGTAAAGTAACCTCTGAAACCTCCAGGCTGTTTTTGCATTCCTTGCACAGGAATCTTTAAACCCAATGGCACTTTGGTGCCTTATGCTATGACACTGACACATGAACACATGGTGTAGGCAGACTTCTAACTCCATGGATATAACACCCACATGGCCTGGAAAACCTGTGATTTACAACACTCTAATAGAAATTCAGGCAATGGTCTACAAAAACTTTCTATGAAATGACTCAAACCCAACATATTTCTGATTAAGTATTTGCCTTGAGGCAAATATGACTTCTGCAACTCTGTCTTTTTTGGAAAACTAGTCTTCAGGAATCACAAGCCTCTTTTTCCAATGGTAAAGTCTGGAGTAAGGAAGACATTGGTGGAAAAGAACCATATTAGGGAAAGTTTAAATAATCTGAACACACATAAGCCCATGAAGTCTGATAGAAAGCACCCACAACTATGTTGGGTTATTGTGTAGCAACCAGAAGAAGTTCTTGAAGACTGAAAGAAAGCAAATATCACTCCAAAATTCAAGAGGGACAAGGGGAAGATCCAGGAATTTATAGGTTCATCAACCTCACTTCCACCACTGGGATGGAGCATCGAATACTGGAAAATGTTTCCAGAAACGTGAAAGACAAATTATCGGGAGCAGTCAGCTGGATTTATGAAGTGGAAATTGTGATTAACCATCCTGATTCCCTCAATAAATGAGGAGACCAGCTTGGTGGCTGAGGGGGGAGCAGTGGGTGTTGATTACTTCATCCTCATCAGGGAGGCTTTTGACACTGCTGTAACATCTTCACAGACAAGCAGACAAA